TTCTTCCCATCACTATTGATTCCCTGTGCATTTTCCTTCATTTCACTTAGTGTAGCCTTCATTTTTTTCATCTAATTTGTGACCAAAGTCAACCAATTCTGTGAGTATCCTGATCACCAGTGCTTTGAACTGTGCATCTGATAGGTTGGCTCTCTCTTGGTTGCTTAGATGTATTGGCTCTGGGGCTTTGACCTGTTCTTCTGTTTGAGACTTGTTTTTTTTTTTTTTTTTTGGTCTTGTCAGGCCTGTTATATATGAAGGGCAAAGCCTTCAGTGTTCACCAGGGCAGAGCAACCCAGTTGCTGGTTTGTGATGCTGTATGTGGGGGTGGGGTCAGAGAGGGAACAGTGGTGCTTGCTCTGTTCTCCTTCAGATTTCAATCCCTTCTGCCACTTCCTACAAGCAAATTGGGCCCTTCTGGTGCTGGTTCCCAGGTGGGTGGGCTGGGCTTGTGTACATTCTAGGACCCTGTGGGTCTCTCCAACAAACTCTCCTGTGAGGCTGGGAGTCTCTCTCGACACCTCAACCCTCATGAGTGTTTTCAATCAGTGCTTTTAGGCTTTATTTTGCAGTGTTGGGGCCCTGGGTTGTGGGGTGTGTCTTGATGCCTGTTTTCACCTGGTTTATCTGTGCGCAAATGTGTGACCACAGTCAGCCAGCTGCCTTGGGTGCCTCACTGGGTCTGCCGTTGCCTCCCTGTGTTGGGGGTCTGCCAACCACCACTTTTTCCTGTCTCAACCCTTCTCCACGCGACCCCTCTCCATGGGCCACTAACTCTGCCCCTCTTACGGGTCTGGATAAATGGTTGTCGGACTTCCATATAGTTCAATTTTCTGTTAGTTCTGGCTGTTTTTTTAGTTTCTAAAATTTTGTTGTCCTTAAATTTGGTTGTGCGAGGAGGCATCTATGCCTCCATCTTGGCTGGAAGTCTGTAATTTTCAATTATTCAAAATTACATTTGAATAATTAAAGAGTAACACAGATGATATGTCTAATAGAACTATGCAATATATGAATTATCCTTGTTACAGTGTAGTTGCCTTTAAATTAACTTTTTATGATTAATTTCTAACTAGAAGCTATATAATGGGATTTGGTTTCAGTTCAAAGTTAACAGTACTCATTTCTCGAAAAGCTGTCAAAAAACCACTCACATGACAACATTTGGCGGTTGTGGGCTGTGTTATACACTCCAACAGTTTCTTGTTTTATGCACCTTTTGTCAAATCCAGTGAGCTGTCTGATTTTTTTCTTTGGAGTTCTGAAATAACCACTGTAGTGAAATTCTTATTCAATGATATGTCTAATAAGTTATCTATCAACCATTTTGACTAAATGAGGAAAAAAAGTTCAATGGGCTTTTATTATTCATGACACTGAAGAGTCTGTAGGAGTCTAGTCTTGTCCATAAAGGATGTGGGTTCATGTCTTTCTTGTGGGAGAAATCTCTGAAACCAGTGCATCTATGTGAACTACCTTGTTTTGTAACACGGCACGTTAGTTCTGGTGATTTTAGGTGATCCACTGAAAATGACCACAATGTCTGCCTTTGTCCTGCATCTGTAGTTATGTTGCAACATCACCAGCCTCTCTGCTCAGCTGGTTTGCAGCTGCATATTATGCAAGATGTGCTCTGCAGGCTGAGGCAAGCCTGCGCGGGTGACTGATTTGCCAGCGCAGTAGCTCACACTCTCAGGAAACCACAGTTTGGTGTCTGTCACGTCCTGCCTGAGAACACTCTTCTGTGCTCACTGAACTCCAGGAACTCACAGTCCCTGAATCACAGAACAGTCTGGCTTACAAAACAAACCCTTCAGTTAATTCACCTCAATTCAATAAACAATGATTGAATGCCTATCGTGAGCAAGGTGAGTGCTGTGGAGAACATGAAATAAACCAAACTGCCTGACATTCTGTTGCTTAATGTATAAAGAAACACATGTTCTCAAATCAGCATATTAAGACACTGCTGCCTGCTCCCTTCCTGGTGAACACGACCCGGATCTTTGTACAAGATTCATAGTTTCCTTCTCATCCTTCTCAGCCTCACTTCCCAGCTCAGGCTCCTCCTCAGATTTCTGGACTTGGATGCTCCACATTCAAAACTGTCACACAGGTGTCTTCTAGGAACCTCAAAGTCAACATGCCTTGTACCCAATTACTTATCACCTGTCCTAAAAATGGTCCTGCTTCCTGAGTGGCATGACCAGAGGTGTGCACGGCATCTGCTTGTCACTCTAGACACGCCACCTGCTGTGTCCTTATTGTCAACCCCAGTGGCTCACTTCCCTCCTGCACGGAGGTCTCTCCTGAGGGAGCTTTCGTGCACTCAAACCACACTGTTAACGCTCACGTGCTCTGTGTCCTGAAGATGCTCACCTTTTGAATCACTCTGGCCCAGAGAAAATTTTTAGTGAAATATTTTAATCTCTTCATAAAGAAAAAAAACCCTGCAGGTTTCATTTTATTTTCTCCATTTGAAATGTAATTCCCCCATATTATTTGCTTATTAGCTATTTGTTGAACAAGCCTTTTAAACACGCGTATTCCAAGCCCTGGCCCCTCACAGAAATGCCAGGAGGCGGGCGTTGTTCGGCCCTCGGGGTCCTGCGCCCGGACTCGGACAGCTGCCAGGGTCTGACGGCAGGAGCCAGACCCTGAGACGGGAGCCCTTCCGGGGGGATGTGCTGCACACCTCCGAACCCCTCACTGCAGAGAAACGGAGGCAGGTGTTTTTTAAAAAGCAAATATTTAAACAAATTCATTATCAGGTGTGATTAAATGATGACCTTACGATATGTACCTTTAAAACATAAAAATTGCTCACTGAGATCTATAATTAACTCACATTTTCCTCTCATTTTTCCACAAAGAATTTGAATTTGCGTATAGTAGCCACAAATGAGAAATATAATAATAAAACATAGAGAACCGCCGGGGGATGGCTGAGGAGGGACTGAGACCCTAGAACACAGCACACAGGTGACCGCAGTCACCGAGACTGAGCCTCCAGGTGGGCCCCGCCCCTTCCCACCCGAGTCAGCGCAAGGGGCCCACAGCCCAGGGGTCCCCGCTGCGGCGGCCTCGGCTCCCACTCGCCTCAGCGACCCTTCGTGCCCACTGACTGAAAGGGCAGCCCCACCTCCCACCCACTCCCGACCCACTCTTCTGGCTTTTATTGTCCCATAGCCCTGCAAAGCCGCCGAGGCGTCGCCGATTTCCTCACTGTCTGTGTCTCCCCACTGCGGTGCAAGGTTAACGGGGAAGACACGTGGGCCTGTTTCTTTGAACTCCAGGTGCCTAAGTGCCTGCGAAGCGCTAGGAGTACCATACATTTTTTGAATGAATGAACGAAAAGCTGTCAAGAAAGTGTATGCTAGTCAAATAAAGAACAAATAATAAATACAAAAAACTGCCCCTAATACAATGGCTATAATTAGTTGCTAAAGCTATTGAGGATCAATGATACAAAGGAGAAAACAAATGTCTGTGGTACATGGCCAGGAAGTTAGAGTAACTGAAGTCTTAAAATATGGTTAAATACTGAGTGCCCAAAGACAGAATTCCAAATAGTTAATCAATTAAACTTCCAGATGACAGGAAAAATACTGTCATCTGGAAATGACAGACTCATTATACCCTTTCCATTATATTACTGTTAAATAAACTGTACATACATACAGAATAAGGAAGGAAGAAGTTTGGTGTTTTCTTTATTTTTTTTCTTAATATATTTATTCTTAAGGTTTTTACACTGGGTATTTTTATTGATACTGAGGATGGTTATGCTAACTGTTTGTCTGTGAAGAAATCACTTCATTCTTGCCATTCTTTAAATTTAAAAGCTTAAATTGAAGGTCATTCTATATTCCTGTGAAACCCTTAAAGTCATCTCTGAAACCAACAACCACTTGACATGTGGAGAAATTATGCCAGGAGGGTCTGAACAAAGCAATCGGGGACTGTGTGTGAAAGGAAGATTATATACAGAGCTATGGAATCCTTTGGGGACCAATCTCATTCTCCTTAAATTCATTTTTCGGTAGCTAACTTAGGACCAGATGAGTTTTTGTTACACAGCTAAGCAGAAAGAACTTCAAGTATCAGTCAGTCCTTGCTTTCCAAAGGCATAGAAATCATTCATTTTCACATATACATTGAATGTACGTGTACAATGTTACCACGGAAGAAGACTGGAATAGAATTAACATTTTTCATTAGCATGAGTTACTATAAAGGGAGAGATCATTCACAAATTACCTACTCTGTGTAGCAAAGTTTAGAAACTTTTTATTACTCTAAGGAAGTTAAGAATAAGCAAAAAACAAAAACCAGGTGTCTGTTTGGCAAACTAAGCATTGTTTAGAACACTGTTCGGCCTTTTACATGTCTGTAAGTTACAGACGCTGATAGCAAAGCAAATGACTTTTAACTGCAGATATGCAAACAAATTCATTCTAGTGGAGGTTCAACTGTCCTTTCTCACTTTGACGATGGAAAAACCCAGTTTCATGCCTCTTTGCAAGTTAACTTCAATATGTCCTTTTTCCATATGCATTTTTGTTTCCTTAATTTCTCCTTTGAATTGTTTGTAACATTTGCCTAGTCCCCTCATTAATAAGGAGTTAAATAAAATCCTTAATCTTAGCTCTTTTTGAAAATTATTCTCTATCTTTGCTATTATTTAAATGGCTGTCTGAATTTTAACTTGTATTAGTCTTGGGTTTTGTTTACTATTTTTCCTATGAAAGAAAAATTAAAAACAAAATTACTAATTTAGACCAAACACATACATTAATAACCCTCAATATTCCCAAATTCTGTGTTTGTTAGTCTTCATCTTTCCTGTTCCTTGGGGGTTTTCAGATGCAGGGTAACGAGGAACATGACCCTTGACTGAAGCTGATCCTCAGCTCAGGGCTCTAATGTCACTATTTTCTTTGCTGTAGATTCTGAAAACAGAGTATGTTCCTGTTAAAATCAAAGTTCTCTCTCTTCAGAACAGAGCTTTTTGTGACAGTATTTTCCCTGGAAAGACACGTTGCTTCAGCAAAAATATCAGTTGAGTTTTGACCAGCGGCGTCGTTTTGGACAGACATTTTTACAGACTCTAGGACCTCAGAGACGCCACAACAATCGTCTGAAGCACTTGCCAGGTAATGTGCTCTCTGGGCCCATGGAGATTATATTGTAGAGTCAGCCTGGGAAGGACAAGTGGGAAGTGGTGAAGAATAAACACGTTAACAAACAAGGTAATTTCAACTACTCTGAGAGCTACTAACAGCGCTTAGAAGCAGATGGGGAGACTAGGGGTCCTCGTGCAGAGGAGGCCGAGCTGGGATCTGCAGAGGTAATGGGCGAGGAGAGGACAGGAAGCTCTGCAAAAACAAGATCTGGGGGCGGGAGTCTGCAGGCAGGATTGAGCCGACTGGGTAGGGCAGTGATTTTGACTGTGATCCACAGTGAGAACTCCAGTTCCTCTCGTGACCCAGAGTCCAGAAGCTGCAGTTCCATGACACGCCACTCACAGCCCCTGCTCACTCTGCACTGAGTGTACGTGTGGGCCGGCGCTAGCTGGGTGGTTGAGAGCCCAGACTTTCAGTGTGAGTTGGAGTCTCAGTTCTGCAATCTACTAACTGCGATGCTTTTACTGGGTTGCTTAACCTCCCTGCGCTGCAGCTTCAACGCGGGGACAGTACGAGCATCTACTCATGAGGTTTGGTACCAGAGTTCCTTCCAGGAAAACTAAGCTGATTTATCCTCTGACTCTAACATATTCTTATTTCATATACTGTTTCCCAAAACCCACACGGTTTGTCTTTTTAATCTGAAATGAGTGGATGGGTTAAAAATCACCCCTACCAGTTTAATCTGGGTTGCTTTCACACCAGCGTGGCTGGGAGTTCCCTGCCCACTGGGTGCTCCACGGAACTGCAGCTTCATTCACTGCAAAATGTGCCATACATGTTCAGTGCAAAAATTTACTATGTTACGTTAAATGAATGTGTTTCACATATATGTAAAATACATGTTGAATGTAAAAATTTACTAAAATACAAAAATGTAATAACTGTGAAAAGTTTCACCTAACTGTAGCACTATAGGTGATATCATTTGTAACATATCTGCTACACTTATAACTTGTCATTCACAATGAAATGTAAAATTACGGCACCCTTTTACAGTGAACTCCCTTTAAACTACTTTGAACAAATAAAAACTACTTTCAAGGGGATAGCTAAAAATCAATGAGAATATCAGCTAGTTCTTGAATTAGACTTTGAAATTATTGTAAACTGAAAAAATGCTAAAATTTATATTCATTTTAGTTCTAACCACCATTGTAAATAGCCACAATCAAACAAACAATCAAACATCAAACACAATCAAACATCTGTCATTAGAAATGACTTTCCTTCTCAATTCTCAGCCATGGCGGCAGCGAGCATTTCTGCTCCACGCAATGGCCTTTGAGAACCAGAGAGTGTGGATTCCGAATCCGACCAGACCCATGACCTTTGCTGGTCAGTGGAAACCACAGTTACATTCCTTGCCTCTGAAGATGGTCTGCATGAGTCCAAGTAAAGTTCTGATTAAGAGGATGAAAATAAAACCAGTTTTTAAAAATTAGTGGGAAGAGGGAATAATAATAAAATAATTTTAAAAATCTCAAACAGGTGTTAGAAAAATATATCAAAGGGAATACAGAAAAACTGCACATAGAAATTTCTTACCACTGAGTCAGATGTTAAACATTAATAACAACTTTATCCTTCCTTCTCCATAAACTTCGCCCATTGGTGCCCAGCCTGTCCCCAGTCAAGCTGCGACAGAGCCGTCCCCATGAGGAAACAGCCAGGACGCACAGCCAGTGCTTCCCCCTCCCTTTGCCAAGATAAGGCACAGCTGCCAAGGCGGCGGCGTGGAAGAAAACACTAGGTATCGGAAAAATTAGATCGGGAGACAGCACCTTTTCAATGAAGAAATTAGAAAATTCAAATTGAAATTAGAAATTCCATTTCTTTGCTCTAATAAAACTACTCTTATCACACACGTGATGAGACACACACACATGAAGTACACACACGGGAATGTACAACCCTCTTCACGAGCTGAAACATGACTCGGGGGGATTCGAGCTGTGTGCCCAGGGCGCCTGCAGCGCAGAGAAGACGAAACCGAAGACGGCGAGGCCGGGCCTGGCAGAGCCGTGACTGGAGATCCAGTTTCTCCACTGGCCTCGAAGGGCACGGCCGGTGCCTCGTACGCCCTGGGCGGTTGCCTGACCGCTTCTCCTGACCAGGAAATTGGGAGCACATGGCCCAGAGGCAGGGAAGGGGGGGCCTGCCTTCGCCCAGGAAGGGTCCTCGACCCCAGCAAGGTCCCAACAGCAGAAGGACCTGAGGAGCTGCAGAAAGCAACAGAACTACGACTTGGGGGTGACGGTCTTTTTAGAGAAATGATCAGGAAGTTGCAATCATTTATTCATAATTCAATAATATTGTGTGGAGATCTGAAAATTACATGTACTGAAATATGTTTCTAGTATGTGGTTAGCTGAGAGGAATGATTCAGAGACTCCACTGTGAATGATGCTTTAAAGAGACCGAAGGATGCCTGCGATGTGCAAACATTGTTCCCTGGGCGACCCTAGCAACTGGTGGGTGCATAGGATGAGATGAAGTTTATGCCTGAATTTTCTAGACCCACAGCACTCGGTGGGGTGAGGCTTGTAACCGCTCTGAGAAGACGTGACAGGAAGTGGGTGAGAACTCCACCACCCCAGGGAGGCCCTGCAGGAGGGCTCTCTGTGTACACAAGTGCACCTGGGCGCCGGTCTGCTCCCGAAGGACCTCGAATGAGCCGCTTTGCCGGGGACGAGTGCTGGCTTCTCACACCTTACCAAGAGTTCAAGTAAACATCTAGGGAAAACAGGGAAATCACTGTCTTCCATGTATGTATCATCACTGATCCTACCTGGAAGGGCAGGCGTGGTGAGTGCTGAGGGTGACCTATTTATTCTCTGTGCCCCGCCCTCTCCAAGTGAGGCCCATGGGCAGCGTCGGCCTCAGTCGTCTGAGACCTGAAGCCTTCGGCCTTCAGTCGGACCGAGAGACACGCGCATGCACAGTAACGCTGAGGGGCACTGCTCGAGTCCACTTTCCTCCCCGGTGACTTTTTAACTGCAGTCTGGGAAACCCAGAAATGACATGGCTTCACATTTCTTTTCAGGGTCCTGCTTGGAAATCAGGTCCAAAAGAAATCACACACCAACCATGTGCCTGGGTCTGCTGCAAGCACCGTACACACGGCAGGAGCTCATCACTCTCCCCCAAGCCTCGTGGGGTCACTACAGCTACTCTTCCCTTTATGCAGATGCAGAAACCGAAGCCTGAGAAGGTGAAGTTACAGTTACTATGCGGCAGAGTTAGGAGTCAAACCCACGTATTCTGAACCCAGAATCTATACTGTTCATCACATGACTGATGCGTGGTCAAACAGAAGGCATAAGACATTCCTGGACTGTCACTTTTGTTAAAAAAAGATGATCTTGTGGAACATATTTTAGTAAACGCTGTTTGCAGAAGTTCCTCAATGTATTTACTTAAATATCTAGGGGCCAATATTGGTCTGAAAGTTCCAGGTGCTGCAGAGGCAAGGGACAGAAAGGCAGTACTAACATTCGAAAGGAAGAAAAACCAACCTTCTACGTAGAGTGGATGGTCACATACCTGGAAGAGGTAAAGTAAACAAATCTAAGAGATACTGGTATTTATTAGTATTAGAATTAGTAAAAGAGTTCAGAAAAGTAGCTAGTTAAAAACTAAACACATAGAATCAGTAGCCAGAAACCAGCAGCAAAATAACGATGTGGAAAGAAAACCTGTTTCACAGTTCCCGCAGCGATATAAAAGTTTAGTAACAGTCTTACAGCTGGGCAGAAACTGGGTTATGCAGTGACTAGGGAAAGAAAAGATTAGCCTCACACCTCGCATTACCCATGGAGTCATGTAAAAGAGATTAGACCCATAGAGTGAAAAAAGAAAACCATAAACACACACACACACACACACAAGAAACTATTGGTGGGTATTTGACTCATTGTGGAATTAGAAAGACTGTTCTAAACAAGTGTGTGTGTGTGTGTGTGTGTGTGTGCGCGCGCGCGCGTGTGCATGAAATTACCAAAGTCCTCTGGATAATAAAGATGTAAAGCATTTCTAATTTTTAAAAATCAGAAGCAAAATTATAAAGTGAATAGCAAGCAGGCAAATATGTGAAATAATGGATAAATATAGCGATGTCAGAAAAAATGGTCGAAGAACACGATTTGAAAAGAAATACGAAGGTCCAACATGTGTATGAACGGGTCAGTAACCGTCTTCAGCAACATCTTACTACAACGAGGCAGTTGTGTCCACTAGATCGGCAGAGATTAACCTGTGATCGCACTGCCCATGGCTGCCCTCGGCTCCCACCGCAGAAGGTACAGCGGCGCAGCCTTTCTTCGATGCAAGTCTCCAAGATGTTTCAGATTTCAGAGTGTGACTCACTGACCTAGTTCCACTTCTAGGAATCAATCCCAAGGTGGAGCTTCAGGATTTACAAGCAAAGATTTTTGTTAGAGCATTATTTATAAAAGCAAAGTTAAGGCAACTCAAGTGTGTCATGTTGGGGGAATGGACAATTAAGCAGCCCTAAAAATAATTTTAACTGAATTTTTGATAATTGGAAGAATGATACCATGTGAAAAGTAGATAAAACAAGACATCAAATTCAAACATTACATTAAAATATGGTAAAAATATATTATGAGCATATGCATGCCTACAGAGAGGTATATGAATGTACTATTACTAAATGTTTGATATTTTATAGAAAAATATGAGTTGAAGTGAGATTCCAAATGCTTTTGTTTTCCTTGGATCTGTCTATATTTTACATTTTTCAAAGTACACATTACTTTTATAATCATAAAGAAAGGGCTTAAAGCTGAAAACGATGATTCCAAAGTCAGCCTAAGGTAGACAGGTCCTTTCCCATTCCAGGTAAGCAGGGCCATCTCGGGCTCTCTAGCCCGTGGACCCCTGCACCAGGGTGCATGCCACTCGTGTGGGAGACATATGAGAGGGGGCCGCAGCTGGTCAGCCCCCAGCTGTGAGCCAGGCAGACACACAAAGCCACCTGGTATCCACAGTTGTGGACAGGACGAATCATCACTCAAGCACCAGACGCCCACAGGCACAAGGGGACCGTGCCTGTCATTGCAGGTCCTTGGGCCTCTTGCCTCTCCCCTGGCTTATCTCTCCTAGAGGTCGGACTGCCTCCACCAACTTGACACAGTTCCCACCCCCCCACCCCCAGAGGACTTGAGCCATTCTTTCAGGTCCCTTCCCAGGATACGAGATTTTAGTTAGGACTCTTCTGTCAATCATCACCTGGAAAGAATCAGGCCAAAGGACAGAGGAGCCTCTAAAGACAAATGGCAAACTTAGATGCTTCCATGTGGCCAGCAGACCTAACACTGACCGTATCTCAGTTGTTAAAGAAACAATTGTATTAATACCAGTATTTCAGTATCACTTAAAATAAACTCCAAAAGTCAGGTGCATTTTGATCTGGTATCATAATAGCAATAAGCCAAAAACAGGTGTGTATAGTCAAAGATGAGGCAAGAGCCTTCAGGTTGCAGGACCAGCACAAGCCTTTCAGACAGGAGTGGAAAGAAACGTCAGTGAAGGAGAGGATGTATGTGGAGGAGCCTGCAGTCTAGGGAGGAAACCTGCCCCCAAAATTATCAGGTAAGGCAAAGCTTTGCGAAGGAAATAACTGCAAAGGGATGAATGCAGAACAGCAGCACTGGCTGGAGCTGCCACATTCAAAGGAGCCTCTGGTTCTCCCTCCAGGTATGGGACTCATGTGGCCTCTGCCTCATCTCCAGCTAGTTCATGTTGGTTCTTTTTCTATTTATATTATGCTTTCTATTGAAAAATTCAGTTTCACTATGCACCCCAATGTTCATAGCAGCACAATTTACAATAGCCAAGTGTTGGAAGCAATCTAGGTGCCCATCAGTAAATGAAGGGATCCAAAAACTGTGGTCCATGTTCACAATAGAAGTCTATGCAGCAGAAAGAAAGAAGGAGCTCCTACCCTTTGCAACAGCATGAATGGAACTGGAGAGCATTATGCTGAGTGAAATAAGCCAGGTGGTGAAAGACAAATACCATATGATCTCGCCTTTAACAGGAACCTAATCAAGAAATCAAACAAGCAAAATATAACCAAAGACAGTGAAATAGAGAACAGGCTGACAGTGACCAGAGAGGAGAGGGGAGGAAATTTTAGGGGAAAGGGGAAGGGTTTGCAGGAACAAGTATAAAGGACACATGGACAATAACAAGGGGGGGTGTGGAAGCAGGAGGGAGGTGGGGAGGGCTGGGGGGTTGGGCTGGGAAGGGAGTAAAAGTCAGAAAATTGTACTCAAACAACAATTAAAATAAATAAAATTTTTAAAAAAGAAAAATTCAGTTTCAGTTCTAAATATCTAGTTTACAAACCAAGTTTTCAGAACTATCCCATTTGTAATTTAGAATCTGTGTGTCCTTAAAACACGAAACAAAGACACATCCTCTTAAGGAAAACTCAGTAAAACAACCCCTTAGGATATGTTTTATAATTGTAATTCCATTTACTTCTATCTCGAATATCTTTATAACTGTAGTTATCTCCAAAATCACTGCGAGTGCATTACAATTTTCAATTGCATTTGCAGAACCGGGAGCAGAGCCTGGGAGCTGACGTCAGGGTGTGGGGGCAGCTTTTGTTTTTCCTTGGGGGCACTTCTCATGAGAAGTTTTCCTTCAGTGCTAATACAGGAGGAAACAGAGATCTTGGGCATCATTTTCAATTATTGTGTGTGTAAGCTTAGATGACATAAATAAATGCAATAAAAATAACATTTTCACAGGAGTCCAGGAATATGAGTTTCCGTGACATGCAATGAAAGAGGCAGATTTGCAGAGGGATGTTTTCTAGGATATAGGTTTCCTTATTATTATTTTTATGGGTTCCCTCCTGTTTCTTTGTACCATAAGCCATTTTAATAAGGCCAGAGCTACTGATGATGCAAAATCCACAGAAGCTTAACTGAGGCGTTTTACACCCTGCCCTAACAAGTATTTGAAAATTTACCTTGGGAACCTCAAATGGCCCAGCACACCCGTCGCCATGTGGGTTCCTGTTGCCTTTTTCCTTCACTTTTCCAGTTGAACAACTACAGTGAGAGGAACTAAGCTCTTTAGCTACCGACTCATGGTGCAGGTCACTGGGAAAACCGGCAGGAAGAGAGTCAGGGATCTGCCACCTCCCAGCGATTCCCTTCGTTGTCCCGGGGTGAAAATCTACAGCCCACGTGGTGAGCGAGCCCGACACAAAGGTGCAGTTCTTGTGGGTCACACACGGCTCTTGCTTTCCTACATCAAATGTTGAAAGTACAAGTTACGCTTCAGCTGTCCATGCCTTTCATGACGACACAGGACTTTATGAAACGTGACAGACGAGAAGTCACAGGAGGCACGCGTCGGTGGACTGTGCGCCCTTGGGCGCTGCAGAGTGAGCTGGGGGTCCTGGCTCCCCCCGCTGAGCTGGGGGCGGGACGGGGGCGGGGGACTGTGGGGCCTCATTGCGCCTCCGCGGGGAAGGTACCCCAGCAACCTTCCCATTTCTTTGACTAAATGCCCTGCCCAATCCCGGAGGCATCGCACTGCATTTAAAAAGAGAAAACTCGTCGTTTCACAAACTCACGACCCCGTTTTTCCCGGACCCGCGCGGGCCTCGCACGTTCCTCCACCTCCCCGCGAACTGAAAGAAACTGCTTTGCTTTTTCACTTTTACAAGGAAACTGAGGTGCTCTGCGAGTTCCCGCGCAGAACTCGCCGCGGGGAGTCCGCGTTAGACACCCGCTGGCACACCGGCCTCCGGCTCGCCACTCACCTGCGGCCCCGCGCACCTCTTGGTGCGGGAGGGCTGCGCGCGGAGCCACGTGCGCCGAAGCCCCCAGGCGGCAACAGCAACTCCCGCGCCTCTCCGGCCCTGCGCACCCCCGCCCCGCTGCGCCCCTGGCCCTAAGCACCTGCTCGCGCTGCTCCGGTGGCCGCCGCCTCGGGCTCGCCCGGGGGTCCCGCTCGGCCCCCGCCGCCGCCCGCTCCGCCAGTGGGTCCCAGTTGTCCCCGCGCGCCCCGCCGCCTCTCAGCTCCCGGGCCGAGCACATTCCGCCGCCGAGGGCAGCCCAGAGCTCCCCGGCGCCCGCCCCGCGGCCTCGGGGAGGGCGCACCTGGGGCGGGGCCGCGGGGCGGCGCAGCAGCGTGTCTGTGGGTGTGACCCGGTGCGAGTGACAGACACCTGCACACAGAGTCGCAATCCAGTGTGGCCCCTCGGAGGCTACCTGGCGCTGGGGCGTGCGGAGGTGCTGCTGGCCGCCGGTCAGTGGGAGTGGTCCAACCCTGCTGGGAACGCAGGCTCTCTCTCTGCCTTTTGTTCTTTCTCTGCGGCTCTGGAGTCTCAGCGATGTGCTCTGTCGCCCTGCCCTGTCCCCCTTGCTCGGTGCGACCCGACTGTCTGTGGGTTGGCCGGTGTGGGGGTGCAGCTGCCTTCCTTCACGTTTCTGTAAATGGGGGGCGGGGGTGGAATGTGTCTCTGTCAGTATCTGTTAAGGAGGACACGTGGTTTATAATCCATGTGATACCACCTGTGATAGTGTGATTTTATAATAAAACATATAAATATATATAGTTGGTCTTCATCCTATATTCCCGGCTCAGAGCTGCTGAAACTCTTGGAATTTTCCAAGTGTTAAAAGTGACCAAGGTCTCTCCGAGAAGGACGTTCGGACCCACCTGAGGACGGGGCTGATGGGATGGAGCCAGTCCGGGGATCCGAGGGTTTGCACTTCCAGTCCCACCTCCCACCTCCCTACTCTCTGGGGGGCCCAGGGGCTGGAAGTTGAGCCCACCCCCAGTGGTCAGTGTGTTAATCAATCACACCTAGGTAAGGAATCCTTCACAAAACCCCACGGATCCAGAGCTTCTGGTGCTGAATGAAGCACCGGAGTGTGGGGGAGAGGACCTGGGAGCTCTGTGTATCTTTCCACACACCTGGTCCCATCTGTCTGCCACCTGTGTCCTTCATAAGTGACTGGTAGGCATAAGTAAATGTTTCTCTGAGTTCTGTGAGCCGTTGTGGAAAATTGCAGTGGAACCTGGGTGGGGGGTGTGAAACCTTCACTAGTCAGAAGCACAGGTGACAACCTAGCCCGGTGACAGGCATCTGAAGTGTCGGGGGCAGGCAGCAGTCTGGTGGACTGGAGCCCTTAACCTGTGATGTCTGTGATCTGTCTCCAAGCAGACAGTACAAGAACTGAGTTAATGTCTTTGTGGTGTTCAAAAACTCACATCGAACTGCCCTGCCCTACAGGAAGGTTGAGGGGCATTTAATTAAAATATTAAATTTTCTGTATCTCTTACATGTACTCTGAGAAAAAGAAATGAGATAAAGTGTCCGGCTCTTTATCAATGGAAAGTAACTGTGTGCCTGGCTATGGAGAAGAGGACAGTCCTCTGAAGTCTTGGCTCCCAGCCCCTCGCGTCACTGACCGCCGCATCTCCCTGTACCATGCCCAGCCATGCCACGGAGACCGGATGCTGCAGGTGGAGGGAGCAGATTGGGCCTTATTGGGTGTCTGGTCACCAGGGCCGCTTTAACTCTGGCAAAGCGGATACTGTCAACATCAATGAGCCCTTCATCGGCCTCAGCTACATGGTCTGCCTGTTCCAGTCTGAGTCCACTCATGGCATGTTCGAAGGCTCGGTCAAGGCTGAGAACGGGAAGGCTGTCGTCAGTGGAAAGCCCACCCGCATCTTCCAGGAGCGAGACCCCACCAACATAAACAAGGTGATGCTGCTGCTGAACATGCTGTGGAACCCACTGGTGTTTTCACTACCTGGGAGAAGGCTGGGGCTCACTTAAGGGTGGAGTCAAGGGGATCATCCTCTCTGCCCCTTCCTTGGACGCCTCCGTGGGTGGTGGGTGTGAATCATGGCAAGTATGGCAACGAGACTATTGGCAGTGCCTCCTGCACCACCTGCCCAAGGTCACCAGGACAACTTTGGCAGCAAGAAGGGACCACTGCCACCAAGATGACCATGGGCCCATGTCTGAGAAGCTGTGGTGGCCCAGGCACCACCCAGAGCAACATCCCACCTCTACTAGAGCTGCCAAGGCTCTGAGCAGCAGCATCCCTGAGTTGCATGGGAAGCTCACTGGCACGGCCTTCTGTGTCCCCACCTCCAACGTGTCGGTTGTGGATCTGACCGGCCACCTGGAGAAAGCCACCATATACGATGACATCAAGCAGGTGGTGAAGCAGGTGGTGAAGGGCCCCCTCCAGGGCAAGCTGGGCCATACTGAGGGCCAGGTGGTCTCCTGCGCCCTTGGTGCTGGGCTGGAACTGCCCTTAATGACCCCTCTGTCAAGCTCGTTTCCTGTCATGACAATGAATTTGGCTATAGCAACAGGGCGGTGGGCCTTATGGTCCACATGGCCTCCAGGAGTAAGAGCCCCGGGGACCACCCACACGTGGGAAATCCTGGGGAGAGGAAGAGAGGCCCCGAGGTACTGGGAGTCCTTGTCCCAAATCAATCTCAAGACTCTCCTGACCATCAGTTTCCTTCCAGATCCCTCAGCAAGGGGTGAGGCCTCGAGCACCCTACCTGGTCATGCACCATCAATCAAGTTCATTCTACCCAGCACTCCCAAAAGTTTTTTTTGATCTTCTACTAAAATATCTCCAGGCACAGACAGGGAATTAAAACGAAGGAACTTTAAAGCTTGTTTTAAAACAACTGGTTTCTGTTTTTCGAGTCGGGCAAATAGAAAGTAGAAAATATGCCTTTTGCTATTACAAATTAGAAAGAAAAAGAGTCTGGTTTATTTCCTTTCTTATAAGTCCTTTTACATCCAGAGGAAAGTGATTGTATATATAAACACTTCAGAAAGTAATGTGACAATGGGAACCCAAAACATCCCCTCATTCGCCTCGTTGCTTTCCTCTAATGTCGGCGTTCTCATCCTTGAAGTTTTGCTTTGGCCCTTAGTAGTTTTTCTTATAAAAAGTGGCTATATCTATATTTAAAATAATTTAGAATTATATATGTGGCCCATAGAATGCAGAAAACAAAGACGAGGAGAGAATGAAGAAAATTAGAAAACAAAACAATAAGGAAAGAGTGGAGAGAATGTAGAAAACAACAAACAAACGAAAGGAGAGTGCAGAAAATAGAACGAGGAGAACACAGAGAACAGAGTGTGGAGAGAACTTGGAGAGAATGCAGAAAATGGAGAAAATGAGGACAGAACACGGAAGATGCAGCAAACGGAGAGAAGAAGAAGAAAACAGGATGAGAAAACGAGAAGACTGAAGAGAGTGCGGCGGAATGCAGGGCAGGAAGGGAATGAGAGGAACAGAGGGAACGCAGAGAGGACAGCGTGGATGCAGAAAAGGGGGAGAATGCAGAGAACAGCGAGAAGGGAGCAGAGAGCAGGGGGAGAGTGCAGACAGAGCGGATAATGAAGCGGATGAAAATGGGGAGAACATAGAAAATGAAGAGAATGTGGACCATCTTATTAAAGTGTATTTTTACTAAGAAATCACCCATTTTCTCAAGGTTTTCAGTTTGATTCAATAGGTTTTTCTTATTTGAGCCCTAATTTTTTCTCTCTGTTTTTTTACAGAACTGTTAAAATTAATAAACAAATATTCATACATAGTTATTAACTAAAGGCTACATTTTTTTCAGTTTCCCACATTCAAGGCTCATTCTCAGTGCTGGCCTCTGTTTGTTCAAGTCCTCACTGACCTTCCGACCAGAGAGGTCGATGTTGACATATGGGTTCCCTGTGAGTGATGGGGTGCTGTGGTCTGAATTAAAACCAGGAGAAGAAAGTGGGGCTGGTGAGGCTGTTGTGGCTCAGCGGTTGAGCGCCAGCCTGAGAACTGAAATGTTGTGAGTTTGATGCCCAGTCATGGCACATGCCTGGGTTGAGGGCCAGGTCCTCATTTGGGGGCATGTGAGAGGCAACCGGTCAGTGTTTCTCTTGCACATTGATGTTTTTCTCCCTCTCTTTTTCTCTGCTCTCCCCTCACTCTGAAAATAAGTAATGAGTAAAATCTTAAAAAAAAAAAAGAAAAAGGAAAATAAAGTGAGGCTGGATGAAGACTCTCAACACTGCGCCTATGATAGACACTTTATTTTCTAGGCTGGGGGCGGGGAGCTGTTGCTAGTTCTCATGCATGGGCAGTGCCAGGTTTAGATCCCTACTTTTGACAGATCGAGTTGGTCACAGTGCGGAGGTTGGACTGGATGACAAAGGGACAGAGAGAACAGTGAGGAAACTGGTGAGAGGAGGTGCTGGCCAGAGCTGAGGCAGGACCCTGAGTTTGCAGAGGAGCAGGGATGTGAGGACCAGAGGCTGTGGTCAGTGCTGCCCTGAGGGTGAAGCCAGGCCGGTGCAGGAGTTACTACCTGGTGGGACTTGGGTTATCTGAACACCGGCAGGAGAACTGATTTTGCTAAAAGGAGACTATTTGCTAAATTCTTGATTTGCTCAGCCCATAGAAGGTAAAAGGACAAAGTAGGGAAGAGGGAGAAGAGCAAATGTTTGTCAGGAGCTTCACAGGATCCTTCCCGCCACCCTGAGAGGGAGCAGTTGCCCCCATCTGGCAGAGGAGAAGACTGAGTGTCCCTTTCTTTGCCTAAAGTCACACAGCTAGTGGGTGATGAGGCCAGAAGTCAGCTCTGGGCTTGTCTGGGACTCAGGCTCTTCCCTGTAAGGAAGCTACCACCCTAGACTATATTCTGAGCAACCAGAAAGCTCTTGCCAGGTGACACAGGAGAGAAAGGGAACATGGGCAGAAACGGGCATGTGCTCTGGACCAAAGAACAGATTTTAAACAGCTGAAGAGCAGGCAGGGAGTAGAAGTAAGGAAGTCATTGTAACAGAGGTCTCATGCTGGCTGTGCTCCTGTGAAGGGCCAAACCACCTCCCCCGTCCCCACCTGCTCCCTTCCCAGCTGCCCACCCAAGTCCCACCCCAAACACCAGCCGGAGTGGGTATGTGGCAAGGTTAACCTTTAGGTTATGAGCACAGTTTCTTCAAATAAAATGACCAAGATCCAACCCAAACCTGTAAGGACTATGGGATTCCTCTATTTGTCCAGAATACTGTCTGTGCACACTCTTCTGGCTCATCTTGGC